CCCGTCATTTTGCTCGCAGAACTGTAAATTTCGTTCCTTTTTTGGTTTTACTAATAAACAACTGACGAAGGACTAGTTAATTCGATTTTTAAAGATGTATATAATATTTATTGCCTCCAAAATTGATTCGGGCGATTAATCATTCGAGAAACAAAATTATTGAATCGATATTGAACCCATCTATATTGTACCTATCAACGGATTCTGAATGGGTATTCGAACAGAAACCGACTTTAGCGTCCAATTGAGTTCATGACATGCACCATACTATTCGAAAGCTCTATAGGTCTTTAACTGCCTATTATGCAGAAAAGTTCTAGCTGAGAAAAGAAGATGACCAAAACCTAGGTTGCTTTTTCAAAAGATATTTTAGAAAGGTTCGCACCGAATCCTCTGTCAGCACAACGGAAAATACTTTGCTGGTACAGTTTTAAACATCTGTCGTTTTATGGCAATAAAGATGGGAATTCGGCACTGAAAATCCTTGGTGGTTATTGGGTCGGGGGAACAGTGGGTTCATCGATAAGGCATAAGCATTTTATTCCATTACGCGAACATGTGCACAAATTTGGCAGCTTTTCACTTCATTGTTGTCTTTAGAATTCTCTTGAGGTGTGCATTTATCCTATTAGGAAACGGAGGTGACGTTGTTTGCTGATTCAGCCATAGCAACTCAATCAAACTACGAAAATCTGTTGATATCACGACCGATTTGTCTTAGCCTTATCTATTTAAGTTAACCTTAGGTTGTCATGACTTACAAATCTCTTCACGACTAAATCGATTTCGTTGACATTTGCTTGCATATGTAATCAATTAATATCAACACTACGTCAGTATAAAATCTGTTAAATAGCAACTTATCACTGCCTTCATCTAATCCGGATGTTTTAAAATCCTTACCTTAGGCCCCAGCCCAGTGGATTAACTGCCTGCCACCAAATTAGTCAGAAGATGGTTTCGTCTCGTGATAGTTATCATATATTGGCATGAATTTATGGCTTTAGGAGAGTGGATACCATAGAATACCAACAAATATTCGACCTAGATTCAGATCAGTCAATTAAGAGGATAGTGATTTAGTTAATATCGCTAATTTGGTAAGCGGAAACACCTATGCATATAGTTCTCCCAAGATCTCATTCTTCTTATACTTCTTCTCTATTATTTCACTCGTAGTCAAAATGATTACCTTTTGCCAAGCGTACACGAAATATTGATATATTAACAGGTTGAAGGTCAAGATCGATACCTGATAACTTTATTTACTTGTATGTTAGGTTTTCTTAACTAGGAAGATTCCCATTGACATAGTCATTCGACCAGGTGATTTTGCCATAATCAGTTCTAAAAGGTCCCATTCATGAAAATGGAAGAAGAGAAATTTAATGTGCTTTGTTTTTTGAGACAGTAATGAAATTCTAATGATTATAACTAGGTCATCTTATGAGTTATTCTCTTGTTATCTTAAAGATGGCAGCAATCCTTTCTCCAAAATGGAATCGGGCTTTTAGCTTTATAGTGCAGAGGGTATAGTAACACCAAGGCTGACCCCAGAGACCTCAAACGCACCAGAGTACTCTGGAAAGTGCGATTATGCTATCGATCGCATAGAGCAATTGCGTCACGCGCGCAGAAGCCCTATTAGCTACCAAACAACTAATATTCATTTAACGAAAATTTATCAAATTACTGATAATCATTACCATCTATTTGATAACAAGTTGACAATAATTGTAGGAAACAACTTAAATCGGCTAACAATTAGTCCAATAAATGCCACAGGAGAGGGGATCAAAAGGAATCTAAGAGCAACGCCGGGGTGTAAAAGAATTCCACCTAACACACTATTTGAATTTCGGTTACCTATAATTTTAACAAATGTGCGGCCCATGCTCCAAATTTTAAATTCCACAATTCATTCACTGGATAGCATAAATGCCCGTTTACGACATCCAGTGCTGAGTCCAAGATTGATTCCAATCCTATTTGCGGTGAAATTTGTAAAAAAATATAACGGTCAAGTTCAGCCCTTTCAACCAACCAATAAACTGCAGTTATATTCCATGTCAAATAGCCCCACCCCCCACCAAAAGCACTTCCCATTTCATATCATACAAACGAAATATCAAGAAGACGGAGAGTAATATGAATGAATGATCACTACCCATCACATAAAAAGAGCGCGTGTGCGACTTGTGCACAAAAACAGATGACAGAAAATGAAAGTGAAACGAGAAAGTGGGACAGAGAAAAGAGCACACACAAGATAATGGTGGTAGTAGTGGTGGCGTTGATAGACAGTTGAGGCAAGAAAGAACAAGTACAAATCATCATCGTTGGTTCGGTCACAACCACAGGAGAGAGGTCCGCTGAAAAAAGCAAACGTAAATACCCTCCCCCCTCACTCTTATCTTCAAATCAGATGCATTCTCCAGTTACCCCGAAACTCTTAAACACAGAAGGCCGAAATAAAGATGAAGTAGATGAAGACATAGATTCATAGAGAAGGAGCAACTAACACGCAGATCACAAATCCTTCGAGTCAGTCAAAAATTATCTCTTGGCACAATCCAGATAACCTCAATGTCGTAAAACCCACATGATCACTCGTTTCACTTCACAACGTGGAATCATCTGTGTTGTGTACACGTCGGCGGTAGGAAAACAATTACTTATCATTCGCTCTTTTTGCATGTTCAATTCGCTATCACCGTCGCGAGTTCCGGTTGTTTTGACTCGGTGGTAGTGGTGGTGGTGGAGGCATTTGAACGCTGTAGGGGAGAAAATTTTTATTCGCTAGTTTATTAACTGTTAAAAGCATTAAGAGTGGTGTGCAGTATAAGGCCCTAGCAACTAATACCAAGCAACAGGAATTTCACTGATGGGATCGTAGCTTTCACACAGTTGTATAGGCCTTTGTAGCATGTCGAAATCAAAGAAAAAAAGAAATAGTCATTCCTCCCACTTATAATTTGTTCCTTTATGTGAGAGCGAGTAAATACAAAAACCTAGGCTTGCCCATTTCAAACGGTTTGAATGAAATGACGACGAAAGCCGTATTAAAACTGATTTCCAATATTGAAGGCTTTTTATGAATGGAACTATGCAACTATTTAACCGATTTTTTTGTAATATATTTAAGTGAACAAGTAATGCAAGCCACCCATTGGGCAATCAAAAAACACGTAGGTGAATTTTCATCGTATAGAAACGGACTCCGACGAAAAAAACTCGCCAATGCTGCGTAAATTACTCGTTCTTCAAAATTACAACTAACCGATTAAGCATAGAATTCCAGTAAGGATATTTTGAATTGATCTACACTTCACACATTAATTACCAGGGCTAGCAACGAGCACAATCACAAGCAGTTAAGTCAATCGACCGATTTAGGTGGACTTTCCAGTAGAGCGGTGAAACTACACTATCACTAAAGGCCAACCCAACCTCCCCGTCGATTGAAAAAAAGGGGATTTTCTAAAGAGCAATAGGAGCAAAATAAAATCCAAAAAATGCATCCAAAACACGAGAGTTGTTCTCTGCCCGAAAATCGTCTCCTTCGCATTTAAGTGTTTATCTGTCCCCCCAAGTGAACATTTATGTACACAAATGCTACATTTCCGCCATCACACGCGAGCAATAAACTGAGCCCTCCTATCTCTCTCTCCCTCTCTTGACCCAAATAAGGCCCCTTAGGCAGTGGTTTCTCTCTAAATCCTGATGTTGTAGTGAAGAATAAAAGAAGGTATAGCTTGAAGAATATTTGAGGTCCAAAATCAGATATACAGATGCTAGTTCTAAAATATTTGCCTAGTTATGTATGAAATACAGTAACGTTGGGCATAGTTAGAAGTGTCAAATACCACCTTTAAAAGACATACTACCTCTGGCAAACCCAATACTTACCAAACTGTATGCCGAGTAAGATTAGCGAAAAAAGCACCACGTGTTTAAACCAACCTGGAAGGTCCAAAGACATCTTCAGCATCCGGTGCACGCTTTGGATGGTTATATCTCACCCATCGATCTCGATTCACATTAGAAGGCAATTGAAGACTCGCCTCCGGACTCGAATTACCTATAAAGCACACAGAGAAAAACCCGATTATGTAAACCGTTTAACGTGAAGTGGATAAAAACCGTCATTCGGAGATCGTGAGATCCTCAAATAGGCAGATCTAACGGGTAGTGGCAGACCAGGGAAAAATCAATATATAAAATGTGCGCGGCTGGTGTTAGTAAAGGTGGACAGGAAGGCAATAAAGCGTTAGTAGTGAAAAGGAAAACGCAAAGAATAAATACATATTCGCACGCAGTTAAAAGACATGAAGAAAAAAGTATTACCTAGGACCACATGACCGCCTAAAAGATTAAGTGTAGATATTATAAGCAAAGGAAAACCACACATTGCCTTCTCCCTCGAGCTATTGACTGGAATCAAGATGAATTGATTCAACGATCACTTACTTGTTGCATCAGCCTCCTTCTGCGCCTTGTGCATTTCCAAGACGCGGGCTTTGATTCTAGCCATCTCCCGTTGCTCTTGGGCCTCCAGATGAGCGAGTCTGGAAGCGAAGGGTACTGACTGAGGTACGGCAATAGGTACTATACAAGGACGACTTGAAGCATTGCCATTTTCTGTCCTACGAACTACCAGAGCAAAATTAATTAAAGGAGAAGCCTGGTCTGAATTGAAGTCCTTGGTCTGAAAGAAAAAAAATGATATATATTCCAATGCGTTAGGAAAAACTGAAACATCATGAATACTTTACTGCGGTGAAAAAAAAGGAGAGCAGTATGCTCAAAAAGGCTCTTGAATATTTGTATAGCTCATGATGAGTGAAAAGCTATTCGCTAGATTTTTTGACCTCACTTTCGAGCTGCAATGAAACATACGTCAGTTTTAATTGAGAAGCTTTCAAATACTATGAAGAGGGCACCTGAAGTGCCACTCATTATATTTGGGGCCGTATTTCGAGCTAAACGTATACTTGTTTGGTGTTCTAAGGAATCATCACTGGTGAGTGGTAAATGTAAACATAAGGAACTCGGCCTTGTTGAACCTCTTTCTCCTACCTTATCTTGGTTGATTTGGATTCAAAATGGCATGAGGTGCCTCCCATAACAGCCTATGCCAAGTATTCGCTAGGTTCAGTAGTTTGGATGGGACATATCACAAAGGTGGGAGGATGGGGGGATACAGTAAAAGAGATTAATTAGGTGCTCGGTGACGTCTCATGTTGGTATACAAATGTGAGTGCGCCATCGCAAACTTCGTTCTCAGAACGTGACTACACCTTCCGAAACGAAAACGAATTAATCTTCTATATGGATAAATATAACTCAAGTCTGCAGTGTTATTTCAGAAGTCCAAAGACCCAGAGCAACGAGTCGAGGTGAAGCCAACATTCAAGCACACGGATAGACAATTATCATCGGGAAGTGTTTTTTAATAAAATTATTTTATACAAGGAAAATTTACAATGAAAATCAATAATAGAACCTAAACAAATCAGACATATCAAAGATGTGAAAAACCATAGCATTACTAATTCACTACTTATAATAATTATGGAAAAATTGCATTCACTCTGAAACCAACACACACACACACAAGGCGTACCGAATCAATCTGATCCGGATTCTCATTACTACCATTCGACTCCAGAGCAGCAATAATGTTTTCCGTAGTGGATTGAGTCGAACTCATAGCCGGCGATCGGGAGGTTATTTTCTTGACAGCAGCCACACTGATGCCCATTGAGTCTAGTGAGGGAAGAGATGCGGCATTGGGATTGCTGAGAGGTACACCAACAGCGGCAGGGTTCACACCAGGTGGACCAGTAGTGGTTGAAGGCATCAGGGCCTCCGAAGTCAGTCGAGTAAGCTCTTCAACAAACTCATCATCTTCGGGACACTTTATGTACTTTGGACGAAGCCCCAAACGCACCATCTCGTCTTCCTCTATTTGGCCAGAACCGACAGCAAATTGGAAAGAATGGATCAGATTAACTTGTACTGGTTTTAATTTTCCTCTTTCCATTAATGTACCCAGCATATTTTGCTGTTTGCTAGATTGGTGGCATAAAGCTTTCCATTCATACGTTCTATATAAAAACAGCAGAGTGCAAACGACTGACATTTCCTCCCACATCAGCCTATCTCCACAAGAAGGAATAGGAGTCAATGACTGCGTAACCTAATCAAGCTAAGAATCATATTGAGTCTGTTGTTCGGCTTCCACATTTAGTCCATTCAGTGTACAGGCATGTTCTTAACTTTAGTGAAGTCTGGTTGGAAGCCTACTTCAAACAAGCCTGCGGCATGCAGAAGATTAGAGACGGTCGTCATCTACTAAATATGGTTTGAGTGGATACAAGAATCGACATTCATTCCCATTTCAAATACGCAAATAAGAAGCAAAAATGAAACATTTCTCTTTAATTAAAAGTTGAGCCTTTTAATTTAACGGGCTCTCGATAACTAACGCCGTGAGTGGAACTTGTGGTAAAAGTTGATCTCATCTCATAAAATGACGCACAACAATAAGAAAACGCCAAGAATGACAACACAATGATGAAGATCAAGGCAGACTGTGAATAGTTAAATTCTTCGTCGAAAATTTAATCCAACCAAACAATCGTTAGATCTTCAATATTTTGACCATCGATATTCCAATTAAAAATAGTACGTCTTGATTAAATTCGCAGTTTTGTAATATGATAGAGCAAGAAAGCTAAATATTTCTGTTAGTGAACAAAATTTTAGCAACCAATTTCATCCAAAAGATAAAGACTAAACCAATCATTGCGCCCATGTATCATGTACAAATGGCATCAATGCACAATAAGCGAATTTACAAAAAAAAACAGTGCTTATAATAACTTCCCAAAGATTTCTCTAACTGAAATCGCTAGAACTAGAGATGGCAACATTTACATGACAACAGAAGTGATATTTAGCAGGGAAATAACCCTCAATTGTTGCTATTCCAAAACTTACAATTTCCTTCCAAAAGTTTGATTAAACCTTAAAAGTATATAATAAAGCGTGACTGCAAATATCAAGCTCTCCTTTAAGGTAGCAACATAGATAATCCTAGCCAATTTCCTGAAATGACAAAACATGAATAGTGTTTGACAAAGCGAAAACTTTGCAAAATAGGCTAACTACTTATTCATTTAAGTAATGATGTTAGCTTTCTTACCTGATGAATCACTATCGGAAAGGTCAGAACGGAATGAGCCAGCATCTCCATTAATGGTACCTTCATCCACCTCAACATCATCTTCAGAATCACTTTCATCTCCTGATAATGTGGCCGAGTCGTCATCTTCATCACTGTACATTTCTTCTTCTCCCTCTTCAGTCTAAAAATAGAGTAGTGTTTAAAGCCTTATTTTGTGCCCCCAAATAAGACTTTAAATAAAGTGTACAAAAACTTACCTCCCGCTCTTCCTCAGTATCCTCATCGTCCTCCTCCTCAACAATCGAGTCATCTGAAATCATAAATAATAGGGATTCAGTTCTACTATAATTATGTGAGCTAATTAGGATTGTTGTGAAGATTTAGTAAATAACCCCCAAGCAATAATTACCCCTCTAGGCCAAAATAACGGACTTTTAAAGCGTTGGCTGATGGACTACAATTAACAAGTAGAGCTGGTCGAAAAGCTGAGAATGAGGTCATTGCCGATGACTACTCCTAATCCTGATTAATGGAGGAACCATACATATGGGAAAAAACTCGTCTGGCCTAGAACATATACAATGAGCCAAATATACTCCATCTCACGATTTCTGGTCCTTTTTCCAATAAAAGCGCTCTCCATGACATATATCTCAAAAAATTTACCTTATTGATCTTATAAAATCAAACAAGAAAACTTTGTTTTCTGAAATAAAATTAAGTGAAGTCGCAAGACCATCACAATTAAACAACTTGGTTAAGAAGGAATGACTATCGTGATCAAGAATTCGCTCAATAACCCAGGTGACGAAATATGAAACGTGAACTATTCGTTAAATATTCTCACACAACCCTAAGTAAAAAATCAAATGAAGTTAGACTCTTGGATACGTTGAGTCTGCTCTGAACATATTGATCCTTTCCACTGTGATATTTAGCTGACATGCATCCAATCGATTTCAATTGCTTGCCCACAAGGAAAATGGCAAATGTTAATGCCTTGACGTGAATTGCATTCTTTTACTTTGTATCGTGCATTTGGAGAAATGGCAGAAAAATTGTAATTCTTCGACTAACTCTTACAAAAGGTCGTTAAAAGAGACTTGCATTGAATTTAATGTAAAAACTGAGAACAGCATCTTAATACATGGCGTTTTAAGCAGGCGAAAATTGGGCACTTGAAACCCCTGTTACTCACTACTTCAATGGAACAGTGATCTCGATGATAGTGCAAGAATATCGGATACTTCTCAGCATACGTTTACATACACCTGAAAGCATCGCACACTATGACCCTTTCTCAAATCCATTAGGATTTGGTCTTGCACTTTTAGAGACGGGAGTAGATCTTAGCAATTGAATGGAGTGATTTCATTGCATATCGACTAGACTGCTCGATTTAGATTGATCACGATGGTCTTAACAACTGTCAAAGACTAGGAACAACAAAGGTTAGAGACCAACCTTCTTCTGGAATACTATCCATAGATTCAGAGGTATCTCTTGACATATCGGGTTTAAACGACTTGGGAGATTGACTGCACTGTTCATAGATAACTCTTTCAAAATCCTCCACAGTAGTCAGACCGTAAAAAGCATAGGGGTCTAAATGTAGACGACGCATGCCTTCCTCGTACTGCTGTTCCACAACGTCAGGAAATGGAATCCCCTCAAAGTCATTAAAGGCCTGTAACAATGGGTCGTCAATTGAGCTTTCAGAGTTTAAATGAGATGCTGTTGGTGACTTTTCAGTTTCTTTCGACTCATTTTCTGATTGTGCTCCATTCTTGTTTTTCTGTTCCAATTCGATAGGAGTGTAGATAGGATGCGTTCGCTTCCACCAATAGTAATACTGAAGAAAAATAAGGGTAAATATGACTAGGTAATGGAAATATGTAAGCGAGCGATATATAGTGATAAAAGACGTTGACTAACCAAAAAATCGGCAATGAAACGTTTAACTCTCCTACTTCTCGTCACTTTTTTGAAATATGCGTGACAAGAATCCAGTATAATGAGCACCATACTGATACGAATCACAGATGTCGGGGGATCAATCACACTAGGACGCATATCTGTGCGAAAAAAGGAAAGTAAGTGCATGGTTTAAAATAAATAAAAAATTGAAGACCTACAGAAGACTCTTAATAATGGAGAAAAAATTGTTCGATTACGCTTAGAAAGATCAAGTTTAAAAAAATGCATATTTAATGTTCAAAACCTACCAGGAAAAACTCGACCTCAAGGGCATTAATATTGTGACCAGAGCCATAGAGTTTCTAAACCGCAATGGCACCTCTCGCTGCTTCCTTACTCTGAGTTCTTTGCACACCCTATCTACCATAATTTTTGTGAAAAATATCGGTAGTAGTCATAAGGAGACGAAAGCAGGATACCCTACCCGTCCTTACTATTACCTCAACGACAGTCAGAGCATTAAAAATCCAATGATTGCCCTTACTGTATCTATCAAAAACCGACTTCTAGAACTTATATAAAAGAGACTTCTCATTCACTGGCAAAATATAAAAAAATCGTTGTGTTTTGTTTATAGAAGCCAACAAATACTCAATGAAAACAGAAGTTTATCAATTTAGTAGGAAGAGACTTACAATCGAAACTGACGCCATAGCCAATGAGATCGTAGAGAACACCGTAGAGTACCGGCAAATCAATGATGAGATACATGTACATTCCACTAAGGAATCTTGCCAAGCTCCGTTGTCTTTGATGCAAAGACGGATCATTCATCTTCAAAAGAATAACAAGAAGGTAAAAATAATGAGTATACGTTCACAGTACTAATTCTAAACAAAACTCGAGAATACCGACTTTCTATCGATTATTTTCAGGTATTACTTCTCCAAACACCAAATGCTGCAGCCATACGTTTCTATCAAGTAAAATGACACAAATACCAAAAGTAAAGCTCCTTTAATGGCCCTTACCTACCTAATTACATTATTAAAGGGAGGAAGTAGCAGCCGACTCCTAAACCACATTAGAAAGAACTAAGTAAAGCGAAGATAAATGAGAGCCGGGTACAGCCTTAACGTGTGCGATCACGAAATTACATTGGACAAGGAAATAAGGTTCCACGAAAGGAACTGGAGTGAATTTAACCGAATTCGTGTCAGTATGGGTCACAGAGTGAGAGTTACATCTCAATTTGGATCTACTTTTTTCAAACCACAAAGAAGCGTTGTGACCAGACTTCACATTACCTTCGTTTTATTTGGGTCATGTCTCATGTAAAAAGTGAAGAACTAAATGGCACCAGACTCCAAATAAATAAGTCCTGCAATTTATGTTTATTCAATATATTGTCACAATTCGCCTCATCCCTTGCTGCATTACCTTGAACACTTAGAATTTTCAGGTGATATGCTGCGATTTAAAGCTGTTTTTTAATTACTATGGACGACAGCAATAAATAATGACACCAAATTACTTCCAAAAAATATACCTCCAAGCAATACCGAATGTCATCGATAACATTATCAGCAACTTCGATACCAAACTTTGGGTGGAATTCCATGAGAAAAGAGAGGATACTAGAAAGATACTCCAGGGATGTGTAACGAATCTCCCAGCATTGAGTAAAGAGTCTTTTCAGATATCCAATTAACTGTCAAAGAAAAGAAAAAAAAGGGGATGAGTTAAACCAATAAGGGATCCAGTGCAATGAAAATGGGACTAAGGCTTACCTTCTCATCTTTCCAATCCAATTTCCTCAAAGCAATCGTTATGGCTTTGTAATTGTTTCGAGTCATTTCTCCATGAAGCAAACTGCGTACGAAGCGTTGCATATCAGTCAATTCCTCACGTACGAACTATGGATATTGAATGAGAGCGGCTAACAAAATGACGAGAACAAAACCCAACAGAAAAAATTCCATGGTTATACTTACATTACAAGGGTTTTGAGATGGGTTGCATGTATAAATTGCTTCGTCAATCATTTGAGAGTACCTTTGGTCCATATGCATGGCCAACTTTTTGCGGGTCATTATATCAAGGTAGATTTTTGTGCGAATATGTGTTTCGGGTGATCGGTAGAGAAAACGACCACAGGTATCGAGTAGGCCACACGTCATATCTATTTGATGGTGCACAAAATTGGACAGCAAACGTGAAATAAAATTCAACACCTCGTTTCCTGGAAAGATGCGGAATTTTGCCAATTCACCTAAAAAGCACACCGAATTAATTTAGTTAATAGATAGAGAGATCAGTCCATTGACCAAAGTATGACGTGGAAAAATAACATATATAGGAATATGAATTGAGATTGGGTAATCTCTTCTCTTAAATTTAGCATTAAAAGATAAACAAAAATAGATACTAGGAAGACTACATTTCAAGAGAAATGAACTATAATACATTTCATGCACAAACCACTTTCAACTCCCTGATTAAAACTCCATTCTGACTAGTTGGGACGACGTTTTACAAACGCACACCGACCAAACAGACGGACAACATGCATTTAGTCCATCTGAGTCATTAAAAATGTCAAAGATATGATTTAGACAGAGCACAAAGGCCTTTGTGTAAATCACATTTTGGTAGGGGAAAGAGAACATTGATAATTCCAGTCTTGGAAACAAAGACTTTGTTGGGTTTTTTGGGTCGATGCTTAGTTTTCAGGGTCAGTGGATGGGAAACTAAGATTTAGATCTTCACGAGAAAAAAAGACTTGTATTTATTAGAACTGACTTAATCCCACATTTTATTCAGTTGATTAAGAAAGCCCACAACTGATTTAACCATGTTTAAGACTGTTGATGATGGCGTTCTCATCGTTAGAAATAGAATGTTATTAGATATAGTCAATCTGGCACATTTGCGAATCACTGTCGATTCTTCAAGCTCCTTGATTTGGTTATAAGAAGTAATGGCAATGTTCAGTACCACATAACTTACCAATATATCGGACGGTTTTGAGTTTAGAATCGATGTTCATCTGGTCTTTTTTGTGTAAATGCCATCTGAACTCCTGTTTAAGGAGCTCAACCAGATCTTGTCCAATATCTCGAATTACGGGATGGATGTTTGCCACAAGACGAGCATAAAAGGGCAGGAGGTCAGATCGATTTCTTGGCACACTAACAAGAGCATTGAGCAAGCGCCTACGATTCCCTTTTTTATTCAAAGTCGAAATAAAATCCAACGCAGCCTAAGAAAGAGGATAGAGGCACATTAAGTCAAAAAATTCGGCGATTATGAGCTTTGAAAGATGTCTTTGAGAGTCACTTACCTTATCAATAAGATCACGATTGATACAGTTGGGTAGTCGATTGAGAAAAGTGTCCATCAGCATTTTTGCATTTGGCGCTAATTCTTCCGCTATAATAACAAGGCAGACGAGTAATAGTACAGCAAAAAGCAAAAGCACATAAAGAAGTTTCGATATTGAGACCGTCTCGCTAGTGCAACTGTGTTTCTAAGTAAAGGTCAATCAAGCCAGAAGGGCAATAGTTTAACAGAACCTTACAATTTTTAGCACTGCGTGAAAATCAACCTCTCTCCAAGGAAAATAAAACGATTATAATAGTGACAACAAAGACAGGTCAATAAAAATCATGAAAAATAATAATGGTTTAAAAATGTCGAAAAGAAATAACCAGAATCGAGAACAAGTGATGTATCCAAGGCCTGAGCTGCCAGAAGATTGAGAGAAGCAGAACTGGAAGAATTTGGGATGTCTGACATTGCAGTCATTAGTCCATTTTCACCCTCTCCTAGCTCCTCATTTTCGAGAGTTTTCGGACAGACAAGATTCTCGTCAATGGCGTCTTCTTCTGCAGCAGCCGCCGCTATTTCATTTTCAATTTTCTCAACCTCAATTTCTATGTGGAAAAATAAAAAAAACAAGTAAACAACGTGAATAGTTTAAGAAAAGAATGATTTTTAAGCGCATAGCTTTTGTGGTGCGTACCACCCATGATAAAACTTCAAATTGTGATCTAAACCGACGTACTGACCTGGCAAATTTGGCGCATGTGGTTCCACCGATTTTCGTTTATTGAAAAATGAAATGGGAGATGTTACCCACAGCCCCTTAACTGGAGTCATTTGTTATTATGTGATGTAGCAAAATAATCCTCTTTAAGTTACCAAACATGGAGGAGTAACAACACCTAAATCTCGAGAAGCGAAAGCGACAACTCTAGGCTGTTTTGATCATAAGTAATTGATGTATAGTTAGCAAGTTGATTTAAGAAAGCGTCTTCCAACGCACATCCTGGATAGTGAGCTCCATCATCGAACTAATCAACTCAAAAAACCCTCAATATCAGAAATTAACATTTGGCTTACCTCTCACCGGTTGAAAGAAATAGAGAAATAATCACGTGACCTCTGTCATGAAAGATGTGTAAAATGCGCTATCGACCCACAAATAATACCTAGTCGTTTTTTACCAGCGAGTAAGAAATTTCTCCCCCCATGATCAATAGTACAGTCTCCGGTAGACCTTATTTGTTTCAGAAAGGCTCATTAGCATAACCATTAAGTCTTCGATTTAGCCCTTTAACGTCCAAACGATTTATTGAAAAATGTAGCCAGTCGCATTCACGTGTGCCCCACAGCAGGCTGATGCCGACGTGATGAGTTTTCGTGCTATCAATGGAACTTATTTTGAAATAGGACCAAATGGCATTAAAGGATTAACAATAACCTCGTCAATTCAACTCCCATGCGCTAATCCACATCTATTTTCATGGTCTTTGTTGCACACTTCTTATATTCAAAAGCAAGGATGACACTAACCAAAAAAATGATTTTATATCGCCTATTATTTAAAATCGCCAAAGCACTACACCCGAACAGTAATAATAAACAAGCTATTACCAACAATCAAGCCCACTTAGAAAGACGTTTTCCATTCACCTTGGATAGAAGAGCATTATTATCGATTTCAGCTACCACTTAATTAGCTAGTCTCCTCACTTACTCCCTTTCGATGGACAAAAAACCGTCAAATCTGACTTAGCAGACGAGCACATTAATTGATACCCCAACGGTGCGCAGGCCCACACCCTCATTCTAGAATTAATCATACCCTAACTTTGGTTCATACCATGATATTCAGTAAGCTTTAACACTCTAACCTTGCCGCTTAATGCATCTCAAAATGGAAAAGGTATGAAAAATTTTACGACATTCGTATGACGTCAGATTATGTAACAATTGAAGAAAGGGAAGAAACGTCATAAAAACACTACTGGTGTATGTTTGAGCTTACCCTCATTTGTCGCATCAGCTTGGGAAGAATCCCCATCGTTCTTTGGTTGTTGAATTATTTGTGTTATTTTTGACGCAGAGTCTTTAAATAGCATTTGCTAAGTGAAAAAAACAATCACTAGAACATAATCGATCAACAGATATGCACAGATTTATATATAAAGAGCAAGCTTACACAATTAATAGCATTACGTAGGTCAACCAGGTTTTCATAGAACATTCGGGCGTCATCGTCCTCGAATACAGAGAAATTTTTAATATCTCCCTGAAAGAAGCAAAGCAATGAGGCATGAAAAGTTTGTTTCTCTTCCTCCTTTGTAGTATTTCGCCATACATGAGATTTTTCATCAGCTGCGACAACCAATGCAATATTCCCAAAGGCTACAATGATGGGATTTGAGCATTGAAAATGAGAAACTCGGCCACCTATCAATTTACTTACAGAGCTAATACTAAACGTAGTGAGGGTTGAAAACACACGAACCAATCATCTCGGATATGGCATCAACCTGATTGATCAAGAAACTCAGTCCCTTGAGCACTATCGGTGGCTTTCATGAACTCATCAACGTCGATAAGTAAGCAGTAAATAAGGGGAACATATTGCCTATAAACTAATACGGTTAGGTTTGCCACACTGGATCCTATTAAAATTGCTTCTTTTAACGGTTACGTTATTTTGCAACAACTTAAGCTGTTGGGGTAGGTTGAATTTTACTCCATCACGATAAAATTGAGCAGGTCTCCTAATAAGTTGACTTTTTATCGGGCTAATTTGTAGTGAAAGCCATTAGAAAATAAAACAAGACGAAGCTCAATTGGACTTCACACTAAATCAATTTTTCACTTGTAATAAATACAATCATTCCTCATTCTTCCTTAGTAATGAGCTGGTAACGTTAAAAAGACGCTAATATCGTTTTGCTACCTTGATAGCTAAACGTTATAACCAAACACTTTTTCCGAGCGGCTAATCATGTGGGGCTAGATGAAGAGTATTATAAATTTTTTTATTTCTATTCCTGATTAACAATGAACATTCAAACCTAAAATCAACCTAACAAAATTGGTACTCAAAATACTACATATTATGGATTACCCCAGACAAACAAGCTAAATAAACATATTTCAATCAATGGACACCGTCCGCCAAGTGTTTTAAAAGATTTGCTCTTTTTTCAATGCTATGAATCAGTGTGACCTTATCAATGGGCCCTAGTGTCAACAATAGCAAATAACTTACTAAAGGACTAGAAGAATGGAAAGAAGACTTATCGAGTTCATCGATCTCATAATCCTGACCTAAAAAAGGATATTCAGATCAAGCACTAACAAAACAGAGTTCATGCGGGTATTATTAGGATAGATTATCAAACCTACAGGCAGTCATCTCCTCAACTGTGGTGGGGGGATCTTTATCCACAGCGTCAGCAAGCAAGGCAACAGACTCGTAAAATTTTCGACAAACGGTAAGTAATTGTTGTTCTTTCTCCTGTCTATCAGGATGGACTTCACCCTTGTTGAACATGGCTCGCCGATTCGAGAAAATAACACCACGTGCTTCCCGACCCATTGCCATGAGACGCTCCAACGCAGCATCATAGTACTCGTGGAAAAGTGCTCGACATTTGACTTTCCGTTCATTTGCTATGAAGTCGGAACGTCGGACCGTCTTTCCATACTCTTTGGCCAAAATTCTGGGAGATTAAATAGTGAAACAGTTATCAAACACGTATAAAACCAGGTCTTTTTTGTGCATAACAAAACTTGCTTGAATTTCCTGGGAATAAGACCAGCCCAATCATCGCCACAAATTCTTAAGAAGCTTGTAATTAAACCAATATTAGCAAATTGTTCCTTATCTCCATTCGTAAGCTGTGTTAGTTGCTGCGAAAATAAACGGAGAGACTCTGCTTCGGGTAAGACACCAACTATAATAAGATCGGCGAAGAGTACCATATCAATTCGAAGTTTGGAGAGATTTTGAGTCTGAAAATTCATCAAACACCAAAAGAAGAAATAACCACAAAAGGAAAAGATAAGGCAAGAATTTAAGAGCCAGAAATACTAACCTTCCTGTTCTTATCAAAGACCTTCTTCCAAGCCTCAAACAAAAGAATCTCAAATTCAGAATAACGACGAAACATTAGCGAGCACAATCGAAGCATAAACTGAATGTCGGACAGTTTTAACTTAGGTTCAGTGATTGCTGTGGCTACTTCAGCCACATACTTTGAGAGATTTAAACCATCAAAGTCTTTGAGAAGAGAGTCCCTTGAACTTTCGACAAAGTTTCTCTGTTAAGGAAAACATAAGCCAATCAAATACTTACAATCTTCTTGACAAAAGCGGTGTTCTTTTTTAGTGTCGAATCTTTTTTGGAGAAGAAACTATCATCAGGCCAATTATTTCTGGCAACTTTATTTTCTCGCAATAGCTCAGATTTTAAATTGATTTTTTCCGATGTTTCTTTCATAAAATCATCGATGATTTTCTTGAAAAAATATATATAAGGTAAATTTTAACATACAATGTTCAGTTTCTTTTCCGAATCAGCCGATTCACTATCTAAAATGAAAGTCAAATAGAAGCAGGTAAATTTGAACCAAGTAGAACCAACACATATGTTGGTTGACGAAATACAGATTAAAAATAAGAGAACAGCAAGTCAAGGGACTGAAATATAAAAATGATCACTATGCATCAGATTAAATAATGGACGAAAGAGGAACTAGTAAGACTGAAGCTGTACAAATAATTGCAAATACTTATGAAAAGGAAATGCGAGAAACTCTAGTCAATGATTACAGATAAAATAAAATCTACCATGAAACCTTTAGAATAAAAGTATGCATAGTCACATATGCTCAATGTATACATATTTAGCCATTTTTCTGACGAGCACATAAAGTCACTTACTATCAGTCATTTCGTAATTAGTAGTGCACGAACGAGTCAGCATGGCAATTATTGTCCAATAGAATATACCAACTCTATATTCACAATTCCTAAAACCGGTATTTTATGTAAAAACGAAATAGGAATAACAACTTTATTCAATTAAAAATATATTTCTTTCTTTTTTATTTATAGCTTTTACAGGTCCTTTTAGATAATGCTAGAAGGTGCTAAAACTTGAATCATTAGTTCTAATTTTGAATGAACACTATTAACTTTAGTCAAATTCCAACCGAAATTATTCATTATTTCTTAAATCTTTCTTGACTTAGAAATTTTTAAAATTCAATATGAACTTTTTTCGATAAGTTACTTAATTTTATAAAATAAATATTAGTTGATAACTCTATGCACGAAATGTTGAATTATTTTATTCTTTTAGTCAAAGTTAGTGGCATCACCTTTCCCTTAAGAATTTCATATCATTATCTATAAAGCGATAAGTGATTTACGATATCTTTTAAATAAAAATGGTTTAATTGGGCTTATTTCTCGTCAAATAATTAAAATTTTTAATTTATTCACAAGCTAAGTAATTTAAAGATATTTCTTGAGGGTTGTTATACTGTTAATCCATAATGAATTTATTAAATATTTTAATTTCCACGCAACGGGGAAACCTAGTCATTATAAAATTCTTTAGGTAAAGTAATAATTGGCCAATAGCAGTATAATTTGACATATTGTGGAATTATGGAAAAACGGAAATTAATACAAGTAAGTAATTTCATGCGCGCTCGAACATTCTGGAACGTGTGATCGTAAGGCTAATCGCGCTAGTGTGCAGTGTCCTTTCAACCAGTCAACACCAAATTGTCATAACAGGGTCAGCTTACACTAAACTGCATTTAATGGCCGAGCTCTGTGCCAGTGACATAATCATCACAATCTCAATCAGATCATTACAATTCACACGTTCTATTACCTCGATATTGTTGAAGTAGCTTCAATAATTTCGGAATCTATGCCATGCTATCGGATTTTGTCATAGAGATATCTGAGACTTTACCATGACATTCATTACAACATCAAGAAAGGCATGGGATCCGCTAGCCAACCAAGAGATCAGAAGGAATGATAATTTGTTCTCAAGTTGCTTTGTAAGGGAGTTAATACGTCTCTACTAACTCCAGCCCAAAAGGAAAAGCGTGAATACTGATTGTCTATGTAACACTTCGGGCTTTTGACCTTGAGGTATTTCTGGAGGGACATATTCCAAGTTGGATTCAGACGAGTTAAAGTGCCTTTTTGCTCTCTAGTAATTTGATTTGTCAACACTGAAATGAAAATAGGGAATTATGGTCAGAAAGACGGTTCCCCTTAACTTATCAAATAATAGGACTATTTATTAATGGTACGAGTTTACATCATTCGCAAGTGATAGAGCGATGTGGTGTTCGGAACTTTAAATGGAAGTAACCCAACGTCCATATAAAAGAAATTTATTCGGTTTACTGATGCTTTGTTGATTCTACAAAGAGTAGCCCCAATCCCAGGTGAAACTACTTTTGAGATTGTATGAAGTAGGTTAGATAACCCCCCCCCCCATGTTACTAAAGATCTACTTAAGACGAAAAGTACTCTCGGCCTTTCCTAAGCGTGAATAGCAAGAGTTGGGTTGGGCAAACGTGTGTTGGATATTGGGGAATGGGTGGTAAAGGAAGGAGGAAGGAGTACGAATAGGAAGAGGACTTGGAAGGAAGGAAAGAAACTCCAATTCTGTGGGAGGACAATCAATATTGTGTGGCAGAGGCTAAATGATTTATGCCAAGGTAGTGGATCGATTTTGAATCCTTTATTGATTGGTAATTAGGTTGGAGGCATGAGTCAGTCGGTGTGCTTTACATAGAGAGACTGATCAAATCACTGAGTCAGTGCGCTCCGGTAATTAAATTATCCGTTCTAACTTTTAGCATTCAAATTATATAGTACGCCTTCGCTTATGGTATTTTTTCCCATATCGATTGCCGATTCACCAACTGTAGTCATATTTTTTTTAATTTAAACGAATTTCGTTCCCGATATAACTGCTTTCAAGTTTTAGTATTAGCCTAGAAATACGAGCGATGAATTTGATAGATATCGAAAAATTGAGTATATTATCTGCAATTAATTCTTGCGATCAAGTGGATTACGAATTCGTCGACCATGCCAAATCTTACATGAAAGTAAAACGGCTATTTCCAATTCCCCTAACTCATATATTCCATATTCCGGTGAGTCAAATAACCCATATCGTTACTTCTTCTTCTTCTTCTTTTATTCAAAGGCCAATTATCCAAATGGACTACCGAAATGGCAATTTGTCAGTGATGAGATTAGTTTAAAGAAACCAGTGAACTTTTTCCCCACCACTGACAAAACTCTAACTCGCCTATTTCTAAGAGTTATATTTCATGATTATATTGAAAACAAAAAATCATTTCCCGAAAGTTTTAGAGTTCTGGATCCTGTATTTTGCCTCTATTTAAATAATCAGCATTTGGTACATTAAACATAACACATTTCGCTATGCTGCCACATTTGCTAATTTCGTGATGCAAATATATATATATATATATATATATACTTGTTTATTTATTCCTATTGACTTTTTTCTATGCATAAGACACTTTGGGTGTTATAGTATTTTCTAACAGCTGCATTTCAGTCCAATATGTTAAAACCACAACTGACCTCTCGAGTACCATAATCCCCTTCAGGTTGCCTTGGGGATATGTCCATTTTCTCCATTTGTAGTTGCTATCTTGCGGGACTAATAGCTCCAGTTAGACATTTCGGTGTTTTCCCTTATAGTCGACCATAAAGGCTTAAACGTTTTTTTTTACTATTTCAAGCGTCATAGTGAAACTGTTTTGCCACTCGGCGGACATTATCCCTCACTTCCTGCTCCTCTCTTTACTTACTTGTTCTCCAGCATAATACTTCGCTGGTCTGAGAACAGGGCCCCAGTTATATCCTTACAAATTCTCCACCCTCATAATTTGCAAAGAGGGAGCATAAATTCACTGACATAAATTTACAATTCCGAATTATTCACTTATTGGTTTCATTTCATTTTGCTTATTTTTATCGTCGTTTTTGTTGACTGAATTTCTTAATTTATTCCATTTTCTTAACCATAGACGATAATTTTGATTTTCAGCTTTAAATTGACCTCTCTCAATCAATAAGTTGCAACCATATTGTCAATGTGTATTTAGAAGTACTTTCCAACACACAGCCAAAGACACAACAAGGACAAATACAAGATACTCTGTCTGAACTCCATGCTCAGTTGAAATATCTTAACCGGCCTATATTCTCTTTCTTATCATTATTACAGACATTTGAAGTATGAAATGGTCATATTTTAAAGTCATCACTCTTAGTCCCTATAGGATACCTCGTCATAGTTTAACAGTTAATGCTGTTGTTAATTAATTTTCATTATTGATAGAAAGTAATGAAACGCATCCCACTTAATCTGCTGGTATGGCAGAGTTCATGAGAGCATGGGAGATGCAGGTGATGCCCAATAGTAGGCCTGATTTTATTTACTGATATACACACTACTTTCTAATTCCTTGACAGATAAATTCCTAATCCTCAGTCATCTCCACAATCAGTAACCCAATTTTGTCTTTAATTTTACAACTCTGGGTCAAGGGGACTGGTGATATGACAAATATAAATGTCAAATTGGAGTGTTTTATGGGCTTCATTATTCCTAGTAATGCATTCAAATTCGTGCGTAACTGAAGAAAAAAGCACAATATTTAAACATCTATTAACACAACTAGAAAAGTTCACAAAATTTATCAATCGCAGATCAGGTAATTTAAAGTGACTTGGAAGAACGTTCTCCATAATACTCGAGAATCCACATTTTAATAAGATAGAACCAGATGTAAATTAAAGTGACCCCGAGAATGCATGCAAAGATCCATCCAGTGAGATAAATAAGGTCATTAAGTGTTGGTAAATTCACAGCATCCAGGGCAGTTTGATTGAGATGGCGAAATACGTTTGGTACTAGAATATACGTCGCTTCTTCTGGGCCCTCATTGGCCCAATCATCCAAAGAGCCAATATCATCCATGGGCTGTAGTAATTGCTCTTCTTCCAGGGTTTGATTGCCCATAGATAGTGATTGGCCGACTTCACATAGGGCAAAGGCTAACTGGAGATTTTTCTTAAGTTCCAATTCCAGTGATTGCGTTACAGCTTCGTTATCCTAAAATGGGGCAACATAAAAGCAACCCATGAATCATGATATAAATTAATAATACTCAATAACAGTTTCTATTTCCAAGATGAGAAATTGTATAAACTTGCCGAGTTAATGTCACACACACGATATCTAATTCGTCGACTGGGACCTTGGCAAGTTTGTCCAGGGGCATGCACGATACACTGACGTGTACACTCCTGATAAGCTCGTTTAAAGCAGGCTTCCGCAGGTTTTGGCCACTTGCAAATGCCCCATGCACTCCAGCTAGCCCAATATGGTTCAGGTGGCGGGTTTTCGCAATTTTTACCACTGTAACCTGGAGGACAATGACACATGTAGTCCAGAGGATCGGTAGTTGACAGCTGTTCACATCGGCCTCCAGCTTTACAAGGGCCATTCTTCAGAGCACCACTTTTGCAGGCCTCAAGTGGTATACAGACAGGCTCAGTTGGGTTCTTAGCCTTATGAGTTCTAGTTGGACAGCGGCATCTGGAAGCATTATCAGAATTTTTCCTTATTTAGTGCAAAATGGTATAGTTAACTGTTGTCGAGCGATATTTGTTGGGCACAAGGACTATTACGCTAGATACAAGACATCATTACAACAGTTTAGAATAGATCTATTTTATAAACATGGAAAACGGAATTTTATGGTGAAATTATATATCCAAAAGCAGAATAAACAATTAATCACTAAATATAAAAATGCAATATCAGCTGGAGCTGATGCAACTAGAAAGAAGCTGAAAGTGAAGAAAGAAGTGGAATTTGGTAAGAGTCTATTCCTTTTGTCTGAATCTCAATAGAGACGATAAGTTATCAAGGGAAAATGAACTATGGGTATTATTAACTTAATCGATTTTTGATGTATGCGTGTGAAAAGCATAAAGTACTAAAATCCAATATTTGGGCACCTTAAAATTCCAGAGGAGGTGGTGGCTAGTAAATAGCAGGGCATTCCATCACTCTAATGATGTTCATTCTATCTGGAACAAAACGGTTTATCATATAAAAATGCTTGCTTTTACCAATTAGCAATAAAGCTTACTTGAATCCATTGTACGGGTCATCAGGAACACGAACACATTTGAATGGTTGGCAGGCTTTGACCCCATTGCCAGAAGCACAGGGATCGAAGTCATATTCACAGAGTTCACCATAGAAGGCTGGCAGACACTCGCAGACAAAGAGCTTCTTTTCAAGGACTTGAACTAACCCATCTTCGTCTTCGGCCTCCTCCTCTTCAGAGACGGAAGCTTTACGGCATTCGCCACCATTTATGCAAGGATTGCCACCACCGCAGGCGTAATCGCCGATCTCCTCTACGCAAATCTCTTGGACTCTGTCGTACTTAAACAGCAAATTACCAACTCAACCATATGAGGATCGGAGGCTTTTATTGCACAACTTTTTGATAATTTAACTACATTATTTCTTTAAAAGTGGCTATTCGATGGCCTAATCGAGTGCGCCCTGGTTATCAAAGTTAACGAAAGACTCATCGTTAGTAATATTGTTTAAACAACCGATTTAACACCTTCAATCCTATATAAGTACATTTATTTTCTCAATTATCTCCCCCCTTTCCTAGGTCGGAGATGCATATCTTTATCGGGAGCAACTGACCATTATAAAATATCCTATTTTAGGTATGGGCAATCGGTAGAGTTACAAGATCCATGAGCTCTAACTTGCTGATGCTATATAGAACAAGCGGCAGATTAACCGTTAGTTATTGGAGTCTTAGCCAGAATGAACGTTTTCATGAAAACTTTCTGTAGATAAGGCAAGATATACTGATAGAGGATGACCGTTAGAATAAGAGAGGCTGAAAGAAGGACCAAGAAGCATTCAAAGGTGCAATGATAAGAGGAAGTGATCATCTCCAGTACAAAGTAGAGTGGGAATTTGGTTGAATATATCCAGGGCCCTACCTCCTAATTGATTTACTTCTCTCTCATGCTACCCTGTTTGTTGTAGGTACTTCCCTATGAGGCAACAAGGCCTTCACTTAATATAACAACAAATCACCAAAACCACTTAATTCTGTTTAAGGATTCACCCTAGGTTCTGTTAATCATGGCCTTCACCCTACAGACGTCGATGAGAAAAGAGTGGCTTCAGAATGAAAATACCAACCTAGAAATAATTCTATTTATCTATTAATATATAGCCACGTTAACTGTTTATGCATTTTATTTATTTTACTTACCGTGTAGAATGGCTTGCAGATACAGAAAGGTATTTTAAAAGCGTCCACCTGAGCCTCATAGAGATTGCTAAGGATTTCCTTCCTCTCATAGAAGTATGTGAAGAGAGAAAGAGGTAAGCGCTTTTCAGGGGGAATCTTCTGATACCACTCATGAAAGTCCTCCGATAATTCCGTGGCATCAGATGGCTCCTTATAGATGGTATAGTCACTCAGTTCCGTTGGAATGTAGGTACCACAAATGCCTGTAGAATTAGCCGCCTTTGAACAGAATCTTTTGCCTCTTGCTCGGCAGGTGTCTGGACAATTCAGGTGTTTATCCATACCTCGCAAACATAGACCCACACTAAAATGTTCGACCAGGTCGAATTTTAGAGGTACTTAATCATTCACATGGTGAGCCATAAGTAAGATGATGCTGAGAAATTGGAAGTAGGCTGGGATTACAGTCTTGCCGGGCAAAGGGAAAGCACTTGACAGTAAAAGAACCAACTGTAATCCCACACTGATAAACGAAAACATTATCACGGTGCCAACTTTAGTATCTTTTATGCCCCTTCTCTCTAAAATGTTTTATTCAGACCCAGCTTTCTACAATAGTTTAACGTTTTTCTTTGGGTAAAAGTTGTGCTCAGCTACGTTTATGGCAGACCTTCAATACAAATCGACTACATAGTCCAAATGAATTCATCTTTTACAAAATGGTACAATATGCGGGAGAAAATAATAGAAAATAATATTTTAATTTGCATTATCCATATTGAGAATGCCTATGCCTCGTTTATTTTGTGAAAAAAATATAGGATAACTCGTTACAGTTAATTAACAGTCTCATTAGATATCCTTATTATCAATGGGATTTGTTGAATAATAATAATAATTCTATGCACAAATTATTGTGAACATATATTAATGTTGATATAATGCTTACTTTCTTGCAATAGAATAAAAATTACTTCAAGTTAAAGCATTATTAATAACTTAAAAACACCGATCACCCACTTACCGATAGATTAAATCTAGTACAGCACGTACACCATTAGTATCTCGACTTAGTTCATGATTGAAATACTTTTGTACCCAGTTCAGATCATTGAAGAGGTCACAATTAAGCCTCATTAACAATTGACTTCCAAGATTACCCTCTGGCTCAACAATAACCTCTTCAATCATTTTAAGATACTGTTTATTGGTGATTACGGAGGTTGGAGGTACGTGCAAATCAAGACTTCGGTCAGCTTTAGCGCGTCCTCCTGCTCGTGCTAAGTAATATGTCCTTGAAGCACTTTCAATAAAAGCCACTTTCTTTGATTGCAAATTTGGTACACCTTGACATTTCCAAAATAAGTAGATCGGATAGTATTCCTCTTCAATATCATAAATAGAACACTCAATATAAGTGAGTCCGAAAATTAGCAAATACAATAGAGTGCTAATCATTGGCGAGTTACACCTGTTATTGCTAATGGGAAATCAATGGACTTCTGGTATCAGTCGTAACATTAAAAGTTCGCTAATGCTTTTAACGATCTTACTTAAAATATAATTTGTAAGATATGCAGTTTTGCTTATCAATAATCGATACTCGTTCTTTCATTAATCTTCATTCAGACTCATGCATTCGGAATCACAGGTATTTTGTGACTTAAAAGCAGTAAAATACATTTTTTATTCCTTATTTTGATCTAACCAGCATATAGTGGCATATAGTGGAATTGATGGAGAAATCCAAACAAGTTCTTTATAGAGTCTTTAAATATGTTTTACTTAGAAACATGGTATAATATTGATAAAACAACGATAAACTAAGTAACGTTTGTCCTTTGACTAAGGATGAGAAATTCTGGCAGGTTGATCGTAGTTACTTATCGATCCAATCGATTTGCCAACTCAAGACGTTCTTGGCAGTTTAGCAGTTATTGAGGGCATAAGCTACTGTTAGTCTGGCAGTGCTGTGGCCCCTATAGACTAATAACACGAAGGCAACCTGTATTCATGCATACATAGTTTGAGCAACGCTACAGATAAGCTCTCGGCCTTGCTAGACGATAAGAGGCGCACACGGTAGACAATGGGGCAGGTGAACCATAAGAGATCAGTGTAGTTCCTTGCTCCTCGATCATGGTAAGGGAGGGTTGCTTGCTCCCACCATTCGTTCCTTTGCTCTTATTTTCATCTTCATTAAACCATAACTTTTATGCATTTCATATTAATCTGTCCCGTTCAGAATAATTTTGGCTTAGTTATACAAATCTTACACATTTGTTTCCTTTAATTCTAGGCTTTTCTAAATCTAATAAACGTTAGAACATTACTTGGCAACAATAACTTCACTAGCAGTTGTAATTTGTAGTGTGGTCAACCTAAATTGAATAAATTGCCACTAAAACAGCTCTTAATCAAATATATATTCTAAAGCCTATTGCGTTCACATGCATAATCTATTTACAACCCCAAACTCAACCTAACCACACGGAATGATACGCATTAAAAGTTATAAATATATATTGTTAATTTAAAGTATAAATGACTATGTACATTTAAAATGAGAGGTAAATTGGTTACACCGAGTTTCAATGTTTAGCCTGTTGTGAAGGTAAGGGTGTCCATCGCAAACATGATATATCAAACAGAACTTTGCCTTGTTGCCTTCTGCTAGCCTTCTCACTTAGTTGATTCATGTAATCTGTAAGCTCGGATCGACTCAAATCAATTTGATGACCGTGACGCCAATGCCTGATCACATTATGGTTTTGCAACGTCCAAATGATGTCCTCTCTAGCGATGCAAGTTGATTGGCTAAAAGTAAAAAGCAAATTTAGGTAACGATTTTAACACCGAGCTGCATCTGACCAATCAAAACGTAGCATAATGTGATTGGACATTAATTAGTTTTGCGTAGTTATCTGATTGGTCGAGCGCACGTGCATGCGTACAGACGTTGATTCAATGGGAACCTACCATAAATCATCAATAGTGGCAGTGTTATGCTTGAGAAGATAATTGAAGATTACGTCTTCCCAATAACTCTTATAACTCAGTCGACCCAAATCTGAGAGAGGTTTTTCGGGGGATCCAATCATGCCTTCAATCTTAGCTAATTCATAGCCTATAAAGTAAAAAAATAAACTCAAATTTGGGAGGATCGTAAGAAAGAATAATACGCCTCAAAATACTGAACTTACTCAGAGTGATAAGGAATTTGCCATAACCCATTCGTTGGAAGGGTGGGAGAGTAAGTATACAGGCAAGATTGTTATTTTCTGCTGACGCTCGTTCTTTCGAGAAATAACCAACAAGATGAGAGCCTTCAGTATCGGTTTCACAAAGAACGTAGAAAAGGAAGGGGACAACATTGTAGTACAGAGTCTTTTGATCCAAGAATAATTTTGCCAAGAGGCAGAGATTTTGGCAATATAACTAAATTATTGATAAATTAATGATAATGGGGTTGTAAGAAAAACAAATACTCTAAGTGCAAAATTAAACACGTTTAGTCAGTTGACACTAGTTTAAGTCTCAACAATAAGATTCTCCCCTTTTTTTCAACACAGAAAACGAGGCACAGATAAAAAATCTACAAGAGAGGAAAGTGTTTTATTTTCAAACACAAAGGACACTCAAGGAAGAATGAAAATGCTTTTGAGCCTATTTGATAGAACTATTTACGTTCTACCAGATTGATATTGACCAGTAAAAGAAGGAACCTTTTATTATGGTAAAACACTGAACAAACACGGTGCTCATGAGAATATTTAAGCAAAACCAGTATTAAAGTGATGCGAATATCTTTAAAAGAGATTACCTGACCAAATACTGGTGAAATATAGCGCCTTGAAAAAAGCAGTCGATATAAAACATGCGTAAAAATCTTACGCATACAAAGACCTTCATAAATAAATTCGCTGCATTGCGTGCATTAGACAAGGATTTGAAATTAGCTAAAGAGCATTCCGATAATAAAAATAACAAAGAAATGTAATTAGTTATAAAAAGAGAACTATAACAAACACAAATAACAAATTACGTAATCTCAAAATACATCTCCGATGACAATACTCCGAAAGATTCGATTAACGAGACACTATTAATGATAAAAAAGACCTATCACAACAAGCATACAAGCAATGACGGTGAAATAGTAATGCAACTAAGCAAAGTAACGAAAAATTCACTTGCCTTTTGTACAGTTGCATCAACTTCAAAGACAGAAATATTGTTTTTCTCGTAGATTTGCCTTCCCGGAGGGTGACGCCAACGACATTCATGTATAACATGGCGTACCCAGGAATTTTCGAATTTCATATACTTTAAACAGTATTCACAGATCCAGAGAAATTTAAGCCGTCTATATTCCTCGGGATAGGGAGAGAAATACCAGGTATCAATCTCGTATTTTCCAAATTGAATCGTGTCAATGAATTTAACGCGTGTAAATTCCTGATGTTCGCGCTCAAGACGTTGAGTAACGCTATCTCTTTGATTGAATTCCTAAAGTTAAGAATGAGAACGTAATTGACATATCGTACAATAGATCTTCCGCTTAATTCTTCATAGCGCCTTTTCTGATGGCGCGTGAGTCGTCCACCACCGTGTCCAGGTACATGTAAGACCTCACTCTGATTTTCAGGAATCGTAAACTTAGTGGATAAGTCAATACGATTAATTGTAACCCATTCATCCAGTCGGCGGTCAACTACAAATATTAGTTACAAGTTAACAATTCTAACATACAATCCAGATAATGAACAAAGTATTCAACCTGGCGATTATCGTCATGCCTTGTTTCCACAATCAAAGCGGGATCTAAATACACTGAGAGAAAAGAATTACAGCTTACATTGTTTTCCATCATTTCGGGAAACTTTGAAATAATCTCCAACAGATATATCAACAGCATTAGGCATTGTTAGAAAAATATAATACAGAAACAGGAAAAGCAAGTCAAATCATGCAATATTATACAATAATCTAGACAGAATTAATAAAAAAGGAGAATTGGCAGATTCTTACCAGTTGTGGTAATTTTCTACCAATGAATCTCAAGGTCGCCTTTCATTTGTTGGTTAAAATACATTTGGGGTACCAAGCTGCTGTCATAATAGTAATTCACAAGTACTATTACCTGTAGTCGTTGTTCAATTTTAATTGTGTGAAAAAATTAAAAATTAATTAAATATTTACTTAACAATGCACATTTATCAATAAATTGTGATAATAAGAGAATGTTCAAGAAAAGATAGGGAAAGCCGATAAGTAAGATTGAATTAATATTCAAAACTCCACAACCAGTAATTTGAATATCCAGTTGTACTTAAAAATACCAGCGATTAAATATGAAGTTTACAATCCAAAATTGTGAGAGAAATTACCCAAACAATGTAACTGCTGACATACTCCCTTTCAATGCAATTTAAAAGCGCAATAGCTAACATGAATGTTCAAGGTTTTCAACAGTACTAATTAAGCCCTTTATTTGCGCTTGCAGTTGACATGGAATAACATGAGCTCAAACTGTTGAAGGGACGATGGCAAAACATGTACGAGCTTTTTTCATTTGGATTTGGAATTCAAATTTTAGAGTAGTCATCGTAGTTACGAAATTCAAAAATTGTTTATCAACATAACTTAACGTTTATTTTAAATTTTGAGAACCCTTTCATTTGTTTTGTATTTCAACGAATAGCAGTGCTGAAGCATTTACTTTTTAAAAGCAGAGTAGAGAGAGAGACCTACAAACCAAATTTAAGTAGAGTTCTCAACGAGGTGTTCAAAAAAGTTTAATAAATTTTAAATAATTACTGGGTTACTGGGTTAAACATATATTTGTTTAGTTTAGGGCACAGAATCAATTAATTCTCAAAATTCATGATCAAATTTAATTAAGAAAGGATGCATTTATTCAATTTCCCTCGTATTTTCGTTTCAGTTTGCAGGAGCAAATTTGACGCTAAATTATATTATTATGGATGTAAATTATCGAACTAACTGAATCTAATATAAAATTTTTGCGTCGAATTTGATAATATTAACCTTACCCAAATGTTAACGAAATCGATTAAGTCATTTAGTCATTAAGTTTCATTTTTGAAACAGCGTGTTTTGTGATTCTGGAATCGTGAACGAAGTAATATGAATATTGATTAATATGGGATGCTTTTTTGTTAGTGTTGTCATCGAAACTGTAATCCATTAATATTTTTTTCAACGCTACAAATGTAAATCATATTCTATCAATTATGTTCAAAGTAATTAATTATTCATTAAAAGAAGTAAAAATTATTTAACCTATTTGGATGGTAAAGAAATAATTTTAATCACTTTTCTTTTAACTTATCTTCCATATCTGCCAGTTTAGAATTTTTTGACTTATTTTCAAGTTCCATTGGTTAATATTGTATGTATCTTGTCTGCGCATAATTACACGAATTCTTTAATTTGATTGCGGATGTTTTTACACCATGGATGACAAAGCTAATTTTACGCCTGGATGTATGTATTGGGTTAAATTGTCTTCTTTTCCTTGGTGGCCATGTATGATATGTGCTAGCCCTGATGGCGATGGCTATTCAAAAGCTTTGAAAAGTTGTAATAAATTCCACGTTCAATTTTTCGGGCCTGATCTCGAGAGGGCTTGGATTACTGAAAGCAATCTAATTCCATATCAACCAAAGTCCGTTTTCCAAGGTATTCTTGCTAAAAGACGCAAAGATAATCCGGTACGTGCTGTCTATGCTTATTTATAATCTTAGTCGCAATCTGCCAAATATGAGTTAAAAATTTCGAATCACTTTAAAAAAAGATGGGAAGAAGCTTGCAAAGATGCAGACATGGCTTTTGTATACGAAAAAGCGGAGCGGATTAGACGGTTTAGCCGGTTTGCAATTCCAAAAGAAACTTTGCATGAGCCAGCTGGTTCGGGTAATTCGTTTTTGTTTTACTGATTTTATTAAATAGAAATCACTTTAAATGATGTTGAAGGTCTTCCACTTACCTTAGAAGAGGAGCTTGAGAGTCTCAATCTTTTTCTCTCCCGGGAAATGGCTTTAAGACTTCAATCTCAGCCTGATGTTGATAAAGTTCAACTTGATGCTGAACTTCGTCATCACTGGAATAATCTTAATATTTCTTCAAAGCGTTCATTTTTAAATAAACAATCGCCTCTGGTAAGTTGAAATAGAAAATGTCCCAATTGTGATTTCGATTTGCACTTCCATTTCTTGGTGTTGTTTCCTCCCTCATTTTCTTTAATGTTGCAGATATGTATTCCACTTAGTGAAAAAAGCTTTTAGCTATCGTTATTGCTCTCACAAATTGCTTCCCTTTTCATTGTGTAGCTTTTAATCGTTTTTTGTTCTTACCTCCTGTAAATAAATGTTGCCGACGTATAGCGGTCTTTTGCACCACACCTCAATGCTCTGAAGTCATTTCTACTGTTCATTGTACGTTTTAATTTTCCAAATAGGTTATTGAAGCCATGCCAAGAAAGTCGTCGCGAAAATCTCAACTCTCTAGGCCCCCCTCTCCTAAGGAATCACCCAAGGCGAAGCTCAAAAGGGTTCGTTCCGGGTTTCTGTTTTCTTTTAACTTTGTTCTTGCGCTTTTACTTCCATTGCTTCCTTCAACTTCTAGGTGGTTAAAGATGATACGCCCAAGGTAGAAATCGACAGATTAACAACCTCGCCCGGTGCTTTTGTGGTTTCACCTGCTTGTGATAATCATCTTCACTATAGCAGTGATGATGAGTATGAAGAGTCAGATTTAATCAAGTGTACTGGTCTCTGCGAACGATATTTTCATCCTGGTTGCGTTACAGGAGATATTGGCAGTAGTAAAGGTTAGTTCAATATACGAATGGCGTTTTGGGCGTTTTTTTCAGATGTCAGATGCAAATTTTGTGGCTTTACCGTGGTTAGTAATACTAAAATGGTGCACATTTATGCTGACCATTGCGCTTTTAAAGCATGTTAGCAAGGAGTGTGCTAACAGTTATTTTGAGTGGATTGATTAATTTTGAATTTCACATTTTTATCATTAGTATTGTTGAGTGCAACTGGCCATTCTCATTACTTGTGGATTTGTAAATATTATTTTAGTCTTTGCCATCAACTATTTTCCCTCTCCCTCCTTGTTTCATACAGATCTCGAAGATCCATCGAAATTCAAATGCATGTCATGCCGCGCTAAACGTGTTCTTTGTCGTGTTTGTTTTAAACCCGTGGACGACGAGGAAAAGGAAAAGTGTCAAGTAAAACTTTCTTTTCCAAAACTATTGTTTCTTATTAGATGCAAGACTGTGGAAAGCACTTCCATTACAAATGTATCTCCTCCATTTCCGGTGTAATAATAAAGAATGATTGCATTCAACGATGTCCCTCCCATGTTTGTGTTAGTTGTTTCCTTGAAGATCAGGATGTGTCCACTGCCCCGTACAACGAACTCATTCACTGTAAACGGTGAGTATAATCGTATTTAATTCCCATTTCTTTTTTAAGTATATATTTTACAATTCTTGCCTTAAAGATGCTGCCGGGCTTACCATCCTAATGATCTTTGTGTACCAGCTGGTTCGGAGGAAATAAATCTCTCCTTCATCATGTGCCCCATTCATATGGACCCGGGAAGGAAGACAATTTATCCTACTGGCTTTTGCCTTATTTGTAAAGGCCCTAAACCTCCCAGAGTAGGCATTTACGAAGTTGCGGATCTCTTTTGTTCGTTACAGTTAATTCTAAATCCTTATTTATTCACTTTTAGTTCAACTGCAGCACCTGTCCTAGAACATTCCATCCGGCATGTCTTGGATTAGAAAACGCTCCGGCGACCTACGAGTGTGATGATTGTCGGTAAGTTTTTACTTACTCTTTAAATAATGAACGAATTCTTATGGTGGTGAATAACTCGCGTCACAGCTCACTAGAATGTTGAAGAATGCCTAATTTTTCACTTAACAGTTAATGACTAGTCGTGAATTCATCCAATAACTCATTCGCTTGACTACTTTGATTTCCTACCTTTATTGTACTTTCACTATGACGCCTTGAAATTTCCCGTAGAGCTTACTATATTTGTCATTTTCTCACTGAAGTGTCAAGAGACAGTTTAACAAAGATCTGAGGTGTTGTTCACATCAGTCATCTCATCCACCCATATATATATATATATATATATATATATATACAATTTCAGTATGTTCGCAATTGTTTTTTTGCGGACGTACAATTATGAGTTGCCTCTCTAGTCGAATAATTGACAAAGATTCCGTGAGAGAGAGAGAGGAACTTGTGCAGTGTGAAGAATTCAGTCCAGAATTCAGTTCGAATTGAATTTGTGTCTCATTATATATGAATCCTTATATCTGGTCGCGTTAAAGTTGGTTAGATCTTTTGGTAAAACCGCATTAGGTATCGATATTTTCTGAGTAGTTTTTCAAGCAGCTTTCACTTTCATTTGTATATCTTATTAGTTTGAGAGTAGTAGAAATGTAACTAACTAAATTCTACGAATCGAATTCCCACACCGAGTCCATCATATCGCGTGCTTTATCGGTCCATTGTGTTTTTATCACCTTGCAGCTCAGATAATCTGCCACGTTATGCCCAGATCGTTTGGATGAAGTCCACAGCTTGTCGTTGGTGGCCCTGCGAGTTAATCCATCCTCGCAATGCTCCCATGAATCTCTCCCAGTTGAAGCACGCCCCGAGCGAATTTCTGGTGCACTATATTGGCTCTACGGACTACGGTTGGGTCTCTAGGTCTCAAACCATTCCCTATAGGAGTGGGATTAATTCACCTTTGAATAATCCCATCGGCAACGCTAACGTTAGCAGGGATAAAATGTTCAACAGAGGCATCCGTCTGGCAAAGGTATTCTATGATGTCTACGTGAGCATCCTACTGAGACGCGGTCTCCCTGTTAAGTCAGTGAAGGAATCCCCCCTTAATGATGAAGAACTCGCTGAACAGATAACCTCTGAATGTGCTGCTGTGTTGGGTATCCTTGATCAAAGTGAAGCAGAAGCGAAAGCTTTAAAACAAGCCAAGGAGAAATTTGAAAGCGTCAGTGAGAACATTATAGCTTCTGAACAATTGAAAGTTAGTCTACTAATAGTGATATCAATAAAAGATGTTTTTTTTGCTTCTCAATTTACTTAATTCTGATTTATTTTTGTAGCTGATACAACAGCCCCTTCCTGATACTGTGTGCGACTGTGCTAGCAAGGACAGACAGTGCACACAAGACTCTGAGTGTCGTAATGTCCTGGAAAGTATTGAATGCAATCCCAAGGTGTGCAGTGTCATGGCAGAAGATGCATCTTTTGACTGTGGGAATAAGAAATTCACTAAAGGACCAGCGAAAGTTCAGAGTTTTCTCACTACCAATAAAGGGGTCGGACTCAAGGTGCTTGAAGATGTTCACGAAGTAGGTTCATCTTATATATTGAATCATAGTCGGTTTAATGTAAACAGAAATAGCGGTAATTTTATTCAGCGCTATGAGGATGAAGGGATTTTGGAAGTCGATATCCAGCTTTTGCCACCATCGTTCGCCACCTGTAGTCGGTTTCTTTTTATGCGGTTCCAGCTGTTGAATCTCTTTTTTCGTTTAATTTTCCTTTTCTCCGTTACAATTTTGCTGTTGAAGTATTGCTCATTTGATATATGTTTATGTTCTTCAAGTTTATTTTTCGATGCTGAGTGTTTCTTATTACTTCTCAAAGTTTTTTTGGAAAAATATTCATACCTCTTTAAGTCAGGAAACAGATTGAGTTTTGATTGGTGTATTTAGTGGACTTCGTAAGCATCATTACTCAAGTTACGTTGAATCCTAGAATCACTCGTGATCTCACAAACTACTAATTCATCAGTCAGCTAGCCTTAATGGATTAGATAAATTAAAACCACGGCTTTTATCATTCCGTGGCTGGAACGCATTAGTACGCAACATCCTAATATATTATATCGTTGCAAGACTGCAATTGTTTGTGTAGGTGGACGAATTTTCCTTATCCCAATATCACTTTATAATGCGGCCAAACTCTGAGAGCCAATGCGATGGCCCCGTTTTTCGAAGAAATGGCATTCACCTCACATTGTGTCTACAATTAGGTTTGATTTGGTTCACTTGAGTTTCCTAGATCTTATCTCTTTGGAAGGAATTGCTTTATATTTATTTCCTGCCCGCTTACGAACTCGATTTTAAGGTCAAGCAATATGCTAACACTATAAAATATATACCGAAAGAGACTTTTTTGTCATTTTACTCTCCGTTTAGGGCAGCTTTATAATTGAGTATATCGGTGAGGTGATAGATGCAGCGGGAGAAGCTAATAGACGTCTTTCGAAGGCCGTGATTGAATGTTCGAGGGAAGGTTCAAAAGCGATCAGTACAGATTTACTTCGTGGGACCTACCTCCTCCAGTTCACACCCGATCTTGTAATCGACGCTGAAAGATTTGGCAACTATGCGCGTTTTATCAACCATTCCTGCGAACCTAATGCCAAACCGAAGGTTGTCAATGTGGATGGAACTCTTCGACTGTGTAAGTCTTACTTCATGTTCAACATTTACTCTTACCACTAATACGTATCACATATTCCAGTGCTAACATTGAAAAGTTAGGTAAATAGAGGTTAATAAGTATTATGCATTATCACAATATACACTTGTAACTTTTACTACGGCATCAAGACGGGGTCATGAGTTGTAAACCCATTTCTTTTATAAATGTATATTTCCCTCTGCGTTACAGGCATTGTGGCTCTTGGAAATGTGAAGGCCAATGAGGAGGTAACAATTGACTACTGCGCATCTAATCTTCTGGACGCCTATTTCCTTCTACCAACCACAGTTTGCGTTTGTGACAAGCCAAAATGCAGTGTCTCTCTTGGGATGGCCAAACAATTTTACAGTTCAAAATATACCTCAAGTGAGAGTAAGTTTAGATATGTGTGTCCATTTTACTATTCGCCTGAAATGCCACCGAAAATTGCTAATTTTGTGAGAGTTAAAAGGTCACTGGTTCAAATGTTCATATGTTCAGAGGTCACAGGGTCAAAAATGGAGAAATTGAAGGAAATGATTGGGTCCAGTCGTAGTAGTCAACACATTTACTAGAGTGTCATGGGTATTATAATTCCAGTTCTGTGATTTTATTGAGCTGGAGGAAGAGCAAACAGAAATAACGAAACTGTATATCGCATCTTAAAATTTCAAAAGGCGTTCTGTTTTAAGCTTACCCTTCCAACGCAATATAAGTGAATGTCAAGCATAAGATGCAGGTTTTAGGCATTAATATGTAGAGAAATGGATAAATTTGGTATTTGATTACTTAAAGGAACTGAATAGGAGTTCAAAGAGCTGCTTGAAACTAAGGTTGATTATGAGATCTCAATCGATATCAGAGTGGCATTTCCCATGTCTTAGAGCGTAAAAACATAGAGGCATGAGATGGATAAATCGTGATTAGAAAGAAAGCAAAGAGTAGGTGAATGAGTATGACTTATTGAAAATAAGGCCAATGCATTCGCTCAGTAATTTTGCTCATTAGTAGGAGTTGCGATGGTGGAAGATGATGATGATGATGCCTGTAGCAGTGTGACGACAGAAGCGGCGTCTACAAAAGAGAAGGATCAGGAATTAATGGCCCCTCCTGCTGTACCCTCTCGTCGCGCAGATTCACAAGCGGGTTCGGTGGCATCAACAACATCTCGGAGAAGCGTTAGACAGTCACTCAAGACTGACGCGGCTAGTAATGAGAATCAACCTCCTCCTGCTCCCCAGGCCAAATTCACTTTTAAGAAACCCGATATGGAACAGAAGATTTCTGTGGTGAAAAGCCGTCGTACTGGGCAAGTAAAACATGACATCGAATGTTACAGATGCCAAGATGGTGGAGAGTTGATAATGTGCGGCAAAATCGACTGTCCTCGGGTCTATCATATAGGCTGCTTGGGCTTAGCCAAAGCCCCAACAGGTAGTGGTCTAAAATGAGATCTTTTAAAATAGTGCATGCTACTGAATTCGGTAACGTAATTATTATTTTTTATTTCCATTTCAAGCGGCTCTATGGTTTTGCCCTTGGCATTTTTGTGACATATGTGGCAAGTGGGCCAGCCACCAGTGCTATCTTTGTACAAACTCCTACTGTAAGGATCACGTGATGGAGAATGGTCGGGAAATGATTAGAGTTCGCGATGTGGATAGGGAAAACTATGAGTATATGACGAGATTGCTAAATACTCCTGAATTTGAGAATTCGGCAGTGAGGGAGGAGCTTATGACGGCTAATGCAATGAGAGTTTTGTGGGTATGTCATGGACACTTTGTGAGGAATGATGGAGGGGAAGAGGATATTAAACCGGAGAGAAATGAAGAGCAGATGGACTTGGATCCCACTCCCTCTCTTGAGGGTGTTTCAACAGAAGTGGTAGCCGATCCCGTTTTGCCTATCCCTGAGTCTTCGGCTCCAGTGGTAGCTGAGAGTGGAATGGAAGAAAGTGCGGAGACCAAGATGGATGTGTTGTAGACCGCATTTATGTTAAATGGGTCCACTCTGGGCTTTAACAACTTCAGTTTCAATATTTAACCTCTTCTCACTTTCCCTCTCTCTCTCTCTTGCCTTTTTGTATATGTCAAATTTTATACCATCTGGAAGATTAAGATATTCATGTAAGTTCTACGTTTTTCTTTTTGTCCGGGGAATAGTTTTGAACACACACTTAAACGGTTTCGAACAGCTTAAGGAAGGATTTGCGTTCCTCTGGATTGCCTACTATTCATTGTGTTTAATCAAACCACATGATTTATTCATGGAGATGTATTTTAAATGTTGGTTTGTTCATAAAGTTGGTTTCAAAATGGGATTTGTGTTTGTCTAATGTAAATGTGAATAATCAGATTATGTGTATATAGTTTATTTAAGTGTTGTGTGGTCCTTTTAATAAATTACTAGAATGAGTGATAATGCTAGAAAATGCGCTTTGTGCAAAGATTGATGTTAGATCATAATTTTGATACTTCTCGGTTGACTATACACGCAACTCTATTTGCCAGATTTCCACAGTCGGAAAGGCTATCGCGATCATAGACAGAAGGAAGATGTGTTGCATGCGAAACATTTATTTTGAATTACGATATCAGCAAACAGGTAGAAGAGCATTCTCAATAACTAATTTGTAAATGAAAACGCACCCCCTCCCTCCAACTGATCCTCCACTGTGGACTACACTTATATCGACTGACAAAATTAGGCAAAGTGAGTAAGAAGAAAACACTTTATTATTCCGATCATCCTCCAACTCTCTTTGCCATCCAATCTCAACCTACCTTCTACTTTCTGTTGCATAAGAGTTGAGAAGGAGAGCGATCTCCGAGTTCGACTTGTGAGAAGAGTTGGTGTGCCGTTTCTCTCGTGAAAGAGGAAGACGAATGAAAGCTGCTTGTTTGAGCCGGTCGCAGGAATTTTTGGCCGATGGCATGGATGTGAGGTCTTTAAGTTGAGATACGAGGATGTCAGGAAGTGTGACGATAGCATATTGAAATCAGGTTCCTTGTTTGGCTAAACCTCATAATCTGAGTATATTTTCTAATTGCAAACTCCATGCACCTGGACATTCTATGTCGAAGGTGATATAGCCGGAGGGGAAACTCAATGCATTCAAAGTGAATTCTCTTTCTTTAGCCATTCTTTGGAAATGGGAGACGATGAAAGCAGAAGAGAATAACCGAGAGTTGTTGGAGTAGAAATAGATTACCAAGTGAGTTTTGTCGAAGGGAGAGAACTCTTAGTGCCAGGGAAATATTTTGTCTCGGTCGAGGAAACGCCATCAGGCTTGGGCAGTCACATCATGATGACCAATTTGAAGAACATTTGCCACACTGTTAAACCTCGACTATACTCAAAAATCTCAATTGCAGATTTTCCTAGTGGATACATTTATTACAAATTATGATATCGGCTAACACGATTAGTTATCAAATAAATGTGGTATACTTAAAGTGAACATGTATAGCCAAATATCTGAGCAGTGCACCAAGAGTACGCCGCAAACTCATAATGTTTGGGTGTGCATTTTATCCTGTAAGGATTGCGTACGCCAGAGATTCGATATATCTGAAATCACCATTTAAGTGCCTCATACAATTAAATTCTTTCAATAGAAGTTTAGTTTTATTGAATGCCAAGTTTGGAAACCCATAACACGTGTGAATGTTTGCATCGAATACGCCATTTTTTACTCTACCTTTTTGTATTAAGTAGTGATAAACGTTTATCTAATTTTCGGCTCTAATATGCTTTATTGAAAAATGTTAAAAAATACCAAACTCGTAATTTATTTTCCGAAATCAACATATTTACCTCTTACATTTTAGACAATTATTAGATGCATTGTCCAATTAAACCGTTATTTTATGTCTCTCGAAGTCGGCCAAATTTGTTTGAATGAAGCAAAGTTTGAGCCCAAATAGTTTATGTATTCAAGGGGCAGCTTTTCAAGAACTCGTTGTCATTTATTCAACGTAAATTTAAATACTTGAGACAAAATAAATAAGCAAATCAAATTACTTTCTCTCTCGATATATAGATTAGTGTTCCCCAGAGATGCTGATATTTTTCATTTTGTGGTATTTTTAATAAAATGGCGATTACCTCATTGCCATTGCTATTATACCACCAGAGAAATAAACATCTGAGAGGATTTGCTCCCTCATTTTCGGAATTTCAAAGCGCCTAGATTTTCCACCCGAAAATCTCCTTCACTCAGTCATTTTTGTAAATAGTTGAACTCTTTAATTCAGTGCTACACAAAAATAGATCGAAATAAGGGAGATCTGTGGGTAATTTCTTTCCATTCCAGAATTTCAACATGAAGGGAACACAGAGATAGGTGTTTAGTAAAAATTTGCATCTATGCATTGAGATTTGGATTGTTAATTTGTTAAGTACATTGTCACTGTTTGCGAGGTGTAGCGGATTGCTACGCTAATAAAGCCTGACTAACTCAGAAATCTCTATGGCAGATTCTCCAACATCTAGCTAGACTCCCAGAACCAGCTAAGCTATAGCCCAGCTATGAAGGAAGCAGACGTGTAGCACGGAGCACGTTTATTCAGTGGGTATGTTGCGGATAAAGTGTGCACGCAGGAAGCTTAATCATGATCAGGATGGTGGATTAGGTTAAACAAACAGAGGTTAATGATTGGTCACTGTTTGTACGGTCACATCACCCAATCCTGGCGTGCAGGCATGCGATGACGTGTCCCACAGAGGAATTATCAGATTACGTTCATGAAGAAATGCTTCAGTTGCTTAAACTTATT